GGGCGCCTGTGGTCCCAGCCACTTGGGAGGCGGAGGCAGGAGACTCGCTGGAGCCCAGGAGTTGGAGGTTGCTGTGAGCTATAACGCCACGGCACTCTGCCCAGGGGGACAGCTTGAGGCTCTGTCTCAAAAAAAAAAAAAAATTAACCTCTGGTCTTTTCCTTTTATACTGCACTTCCTCCAACTAGACCAGCAAGTGTCCTGAGTTCTAAAAAGTACTTGCTTTGTAGCAGGAATTATGATTCCGATTCCAACTTAGATTTCAAATTTCTGAATAATGAAAACATTTTATATACACATTCAATAGTCATATATTATCAAAAAGTTACTACTTCAATGCAAATCAAACATTAAAAAAAAAAAAACCAGATACCATACCCTGAGGGCAAAGTCTCTGTGCTGGCATTTCCCGACTGCTGCCGCACAGGTTCCGCACACCCATCTGGCTGTCTCAATTTGGCTGCTTCAAAAGCAGAATTACTTCCAGAATTAGAGGTGTCACTGTCCAATACACTTCTCACTTCAGCTCCCAATTCTGCACTGCTGGAAGGAATATATTCATCGTTTTCAGAGGAAGTCACTATTTCTTGAACTGGAGGATCTTCGATGGTAGTACTAGTGCAATTTAAAGACAAGGCGTTTTCTTCAGACACTAGTGGAGTCACGGTGGCGGAAGGATTATCAGTTGGTGCAAATGAGGATGATTCTCCATTAACTGAGAAGTGAAAATCAGTAAGACAATCAAGTAACAACAAAGCAGTCAACTAACTAATCGATTACACTTAATCAGAGGATAATTCAGACTGAACAATGTTGATGAACATAAAATAAGACGAAGATCAATTTCCCTTAAATTCTAGGAATGAATATAAAATGATAAAATTTAAGTATATACTTAATATACATACATATATATCATAAGCATATGTAATTATATAAGTATATATAAGTAAAAGAAAGAGAAACCAACATTAGGATGGTTTCAAGGGTAACTAACATTTTCCCTCCAAATTATCAATTCAGAGAGAAAGTCTATATGGCTATATAAAAACCTTTAAAAACTTCCTTTCACTCTCTCTTATGAAAATGGTAACTAATATCGAAATAATTCTTTGGCCAAAAATGGGAAATATATGACACCACTAGGTTTTTTTTTTT